TGGTGTCCTTTCCCCGCTACTGTTTAACTTTTACATTTCAAAGCTCCCTCAACCACCAGAGGGAGTCTCGATTGTCTCTTATGCCGACGATTGCTCGATCATGGCGACTGGGAATGGAATTGATGACCTGTGTTCGAAAGTAAACGGGTATCTCTCCGAACTTTCTCGCTTCTTCACTGCAAAGTGTCTAGCCCTCTCCCCTACGAAATCCTCCGCGACCCTGTTCACAACCTGGACGAAGGAAGTCTGGCTACCGCTGGGGATTCACGTAGATGACACACCAATTCCGACGGTGAATAACCCCAAAATAGTCGGAGTAACATTCGACAGCCGGCTCGCCTTCTCTGCGCACTCAACCGCTATTGTCAATAAAGTACAGAGCCGCAACAAGGTCCTCAAGTCGCTAGCCGGCAGTACTTGGGGCAAAGACAAAGAAACGTTGCTGGCAACATACAAGGCAATAGGCCGGCCGGTTTTGAACTACGCAGCGCCAGTGTGGTCGCCTGGGACTAGTTTGGACGCAGTGGACGAAGCTACAGACTGTACAGAACACCGCACTCACGACAGCGACAGGATGCCTCCTGATGTCGCCTGAACACTACCTGCACGGCGAGGCGCAAATGCTCCCGGTAAAGGAGCACAATATAATGCTCTGCAAGCAGTTCCTGATCGGGAGCCACAGAAGTGGCCACCAAAGCAGACAGCTGCTTGCAGAGGAGCCCTCGCCTAGGCACGTCAGGAGGCATCTATATGAACTGACGGACGAAGTCCAGAGGTTCATTAAGCAACCTCTGGACCCGACAGCGTACCGACAGGCCCTGCACGGCATTCACAGGGACTCAGTCTCGAGTTATGTAGACTCTAGACCTGTGAATGCCGTTCTAGGCATACCACCCCCGGACATAGACGAGACGGAGCTTCATCTGCCTCGGGAGACACGCACAACACTTGCACAACTTCGCTCCGGTTACTGCAGCAGGTTGAACTCCTACCTGAGTAGGTTGAATGAGGATGTGCCGAATGAGTGTCCGGCATGCGGAGAGACCCCACACGACTCGAAACATCTCTTCGCATGCCCGGAGAACCGGACAACCCTAACGGCCTTGTCCCTGTGGACAAACCCCACAGAAGCTGCACGCTTCCTAGGGTTTCCGTTAGTGGAACTTGACGACAACGACTGAGATACCAACCGTCCTGGGCGGGGTTATTGTAGTCGCTACAACAACAACAACAACGAATCAGACGGGAGATGTTCGGAATACATACATATATTTGTATGTACGTTAGATTGCATCACCAAAAAAAGTTGCGGTTTTTTCAACGGGATTACAAAATTTATTATAGTCTAAGACATTCACAAAAATATTTGGGAAAAATATTAGCATATAAGTGAGCTGGACCGATTTGAAAATACCTCCAAGTATGGAGTTTTTTATGAATAAAAATAGTTTCGTAAAGAACTTTTTGAAAAAAGTCCCCTCAGTTGACAAAACAGATTAAGCTTAAAAAAACTGCATAAAAATATTTAAAAATCTTTTCAACGGAATCGTAAGAATGAGATTTTGGTGCTGTTTTTTACTTTTTTCAAAGATTGATTTACGAAAAACTTGAATAACTGGGCCAAAACTATTCTGATTTAGACTTATGGGATCTCAGTAGAAAGGTATTTTCACACTGTTTTTATTTCTGTCCAAACAAAAAGGCATTCGTGCTCCAATTTTTTTTTTTTTCAAATAACAACACATCTTAATTCAACTTTGAATGACGTTCGTTCATCGTACCTTTCTCTTTCATCCTTTGAATGAGTTTATTAGCAAAGAAATAAAAAGGGTGAGAAAATACTTTTCCAATGATGCCTCACAAGTCTTAATCGGAAGAGTTTAGGTTCAGTTATTCAAGTTTTTCTTCTACCAATCTTTGAAAAAAGTTAAAAAACAGCACCAAAAATCTCATTCTTACGATTCCGTTCGAATTTTTTTTAATTTTATTAAAATATTTTTATGCAAATTTTTTAAGCTTGAACCGTTTTGTCATTTGGGGGGATTTTTTCAAAAAAAAAATTTAAGAAACTATTTTTATTCATAAAAAACTTCATTTTTGGAGGTATTTTTAAATTGGTCCAGCTCACTTAAATCTTAATATTTTTTCGAAATATTTGGGTGGACGTCTTAAAATATAATAGATTTTATAATTCCAATGGAAAAATAGTTGACTGGTGTATAGCTTGAAATAAAGTTAGTTATGAAACAAAACACAACATGCACGTCTGATTATTCGTGAGTACACTACACAATCAACTTCTGAGATTAGGCGTTCTTCAACTGAATTCTAAGATAGGGCGTTCTTGGAAATTTTGCTGAGGTAGGGCGTTTTCGAACCGTCTGCCGAGATATGTCAATCTCCATTCAGCCGTCGATATACGAGTTTAACGCAGAAATGGGATGATATATTTTGAATTTCTAGCTTTAACATTCAATGCCAGAATAACGCCGATTTAAAAATTAACTATTTTTCAGCACCAATCTGGAGAAGCAGCGCAGTATGTAACGCGGCGTGCAGCTCTGCGTAAGTTACAGTTGTCTTTAAATGATTTCCGTCGACTTTGTATCATAAAAGGTGTTTATCCACGTGATCCGAAGCATCGTAGACGTGCTCAAAAAGGGTCTTCTGAAATTAAAATTTTATATCACGCAAAGGACATACGTTTTTTATTGCATGAACCGATTGTGTGGACACTTCGAGATTACAAAGTTTGTATTGCATCTTTAATTTTTTAGTTATGGTTTTGTAATTGCCTTTCACTACAGATATTTGCAAAGAAGACTGGACGAGATCGTGCTGTAAAAGATTTTCGTAATTTGAAGCGACGCCTAGCTCTATTTCCTGAACTACGGATAGATCATATCGTAAAAGAGCGTTATCCAACGTTTATCGATGCAATTAAGGATCTTGATGATTGTTTGACTCTACTCTTCCTCTTCAGTACTTTTCCCTCGTTGCGTCTAATACCCCGCGAGCAATCGGTCTTATGTCGACGACTTACCATAGAATTTTTTGCATTATGTTATTAACACTAGATCTCTTCGTAAGGTTTTTATTTCTATTAAAGGATTCTATTTTCAAGCTGAAATTAAAGGGCAAAAAGTGACCTGGATAATGCCCCATCATTACCCTTTTAAACCACATTCCAAAGCAGATGTCGACTTTAAAGTGATGTCAATTTTTGTTGAGTTCTACACCATTATGCTTGGATTTGTTAACTATCGCCTATATCATAGTGCCGGATACACATATCCACCAAAATTATGTAGCGAGGTGCTTGAGAATAATTTTAAGGATGAGGTATCATATGTGTCAGATCGCATAGCTGCGTTGAACGATGATTCGGTTTCTATAGATAAAGAACAAAATGAAGATATCGAAGAGATAGATTTAGATTTGCTAGAGCCCGGCCAAAGCTCCTGTCGCTTAATGAAACTCAAAAACATCGCCCAAGAACTAAAATGCTTGCGTATACTTTTTAAGGGCCTAAAGTTCTTTATTAATAGGGAAGTTCCCCGCGAACCTCTGGTAATATTAATTCGTTCATTTGGTGGTAAGGTGTCGTGGGACCCAGCCATCTTTGTTGGGGCTACCTTCGATGAATGTGACGAAACAATTACGCATCAAATTGTGGATAGACCTTATTTAAGTTGCAAGTATATATCACGTGATTATATTCAACCTCAGTGGGTCTTTGACTGTGTGAATCAGCGAATGCTACTTCCAACTAACCTATATTTTGCGGGCGTTAACCTCCCGCCACATTTGTCACCATTTGTTGCCGTTACCCGTGACTCGTATATTCCACCGGAAGAAGGATCCCCAATTACTAATGTGAATAGTAAGTTAAATTTTTCCACACATTGCACGCACCAATGTTAAATATTTTTTTTATATATTTCCAGAAGTCGAGAAGGAAAAACATAACCACATAAAGAAAAGCATGAACTTTTCTCTCATGAATGATGAGGAATTACAATCCGCTTACTCAGAAGAAAAGGCTGTTACAAAGCAATATGATCAAATGGATAAACGTGGTGGCAAAGCGTATTATAGGCATTCAGAAACTGAATGGGGAAAATACCAGTCTAAAGAAGTAGTTAATGTAGTACACGGCGTCTTAATGCATGCAATTAAAATATTTTAATTTTAGAAAACCATGAGTGTTCAACCAGGAAAAGTGCACCAAGACAAAAGAAGTGACAACCGCAAAAATGAGGTGGATGAGCATCGCCTACAAGCGCGGATGGTAAAGTCCCGTCATCGGGACCTATTTCGCAAACTAATACGGAAGAAAAGAGTTGCGGAAAAGGAACAATGGCTTTTGCGAAAAAAACGAAGAGTGATCGATTCTAAATTAGTTGCCGATTCAGAATAACATGTCTATTGCTTTGACAATAAAGTTAAAATACTAGTGTAATAATAACACTGTGCAACGACATGTTCTCAACAGAATAACTATGATGCATTTTGCATTAAGAAAATTTTAGAGACCACTTTTGCTGGACAAAGCACATCTGAGGTTTATTTTATTTGCTTACACAGTTAAAAGTTCGAAGATGACATCCGCGCAATCCCAATTTTTGATCTTAATTGTTTAACTCACTGCCAGTGACCTCACTAAGCCCGTTTACATTAAAAAAAAAATTACCGCTGATAATAAAGCCCCCGAGTTGGTACATACCTTGTTTATACCAACACATAAACTGCTTCGACCCAGTTCGCTGTGATTCAAAACGGAAGCATAAACCAACTTTCAATACGCTCACAAATCTAAGTGTATTGACTCAAATTTGTTTTCAAATCGGTTTTTTATTTCTTACATCGGTTAGAAAACAGGTATAAACACATCACTCATTAAACGCGAAGTGAAAAAAAGGCTGGTTATCTTTACACAGCCCGTTTTAAATTAGAATTATTATTATAACCAAGTTAAATTCTTATTCGCTTCCCTTTCGGTCCACCACGCAATTTAATTATTTGAGAAATATCGAATAAAAAAAAAGTTGTTTACTTTTGAATACGGTTCTGCGAGTACGCTATAACGACACAGGTATAAATGCTTAAAGGAAATCTGACTTGAGTCAGTTAAGGTTTTTGTTAATTCGGTTCTTGCGAAGGTATAAACAAAGTAATAGATTCAGCGGAAGATTTGGAACTAAATTTCTTCATTATTAGGTTAAAATACTTACTCCCCTATTCTGCAACTCTAATACCATGTTCTGACCGATATCGAAAACATGTTTTCGTTGCTAAAACTGGTTTTCGACCTAAAACATGCGTTTTCGTCCATGTAAAATCTGTCAAATGAAAACTAGTTTTCGCTGAAAACTATTTGAAAACTCACGTTCCACTCATTCCAATCGGTGTCTTCACTATTTTTTTTTTTCGATTATTTAACGAAGTGGAAGTCATATTTTCTCATCTTTAATGCGCTTTTTCGTATTTATTGTTAATTGGCTGGCCAAACTAAAATAGTAATGAAAGTAAGAGGTTCCTAATGAAAGAAAATGTGGGAAAAGCATTTTGGTTTTGTTTCTGTGTAGCAAAACTGCAATCAGAGGATGTAAGAAATGTCAACGAAAACACTAACAGCCGGTGTGGACAGCCTTCAGCCCACAATTCCAAAACTCGTTTTCAAAGTGTTTTCGTTGTCGGTCAGAACATGGTATAACGTATTCCGATTTTGCTAGGAATCGTAGAAATAGTACGCTGCAATCCGAATCGAAATTCTGTGTCGGAAGCGAGATAAAAGATGTAAATTCCACGGCAGCCGGTCCTACGTACCGGAATGACTCGGGGGTTTTACTGACCACAAGGGCTGTTGTTTCGACGATCTAACCCCGTTTAGGTCGGCAAAATCCATCAAACGTTGTTAGACAATGGGGCTACATCTGCTCCGAATCCTTCAACCCAGGGCTGGTATAGAGTCAAACCCAGGGCCAGAATCGACGAGTGACTACGTGGGCCCCTGCTGTCCTGCCCGGTCGCAAACTTCCCAGACGACGCCGCCCACCACTACCACAAAGCAGCACCCCCGTCTGCAGCACATACAGCAGGGGGCCTGCAGGCTACACAACTCCCAAACACCCCACATCACAATTGGTCTCCCAAGGCACACAAAGGTGCTACAATTCAACTGCGACGGACTTCAGAGCAAGATCGAGGAGATAACCGTTTTCATGGGCCGGCATGGAATATTGATAGCTGCGGTCCAAGAGACGAAGTTGCACAGCCATTAAACTCCGTTGAATAGCGCCGGATACAATGTGCGCCGTTGAGATCGCGAGCGAGATAATGGTGGAGGCTTAGGCCCTTATTATGAGTTGCATTCGATCTTCGCTGGCTATCGAAAATGCATGATTTTGCATTTGTTTTCTTAGTTTTTGGAGGCTAGACACTAATTTTAAACAATTTTTGTTAATTTCATGCAGTTCTAACGTCGAGAATACTAAACACCAGCTCGAAAGTCTGGTTTTACTTATGAAAGAAAATCCCAATACACTGTTGGCACAACCTCTGAGAACAAAATCATAGAGATGTTTATAGTTTTAATCACCCTCATTGCGAGAGTGGTGTCGTATGCAAGTCGTTTTTTCGAGAGTCGAATCGTATCGCAAATTGCACGTCATCGCCTAAAATTTCCATTCGACTAGTGTATTAAAACGTAAAAACTTGGCAGCACTGTAAAGTTTTCGACGATTTTCGTCATTTACTTATTTCAGCACGACAGTAAACAATGCCAATGTTGTCGAGTCGTACAATTTAGACTAATTTACGACTTACGCAATGAGGCTGAATATATTTTAAATAGATTTGGATCATAAAGTTTCTTAAATATATTGTATGTCAAAATATATTCGAAAGACTGCACTTAAACTCTCTTAAACGTATTCTGCTGGCCAGTTTTCTAAGCTCACATCCTCTGACGAATCGCTCAACCAGAACTCCGTTGTACTGGCCTCTATTATGGGTTGCATTCGATCTTCGACTGAGGTCGAAAGTGCTGATCGAACGAATTTTCATTTGGTATTATGGCTCTCATTCGATTATGAATAGCGCTATTGTGAATTTCACGAAAGAATAGGAGTGTACTCGTACGCCCAACTATCAAAAGGTTTAGAAAACTTACTGGTTTTGCGTTCTCGTACCCAAAAAACTTGCAAAGTAGGAGAAATTGAGAGAGCAAAATGTGAAAGAGAGCTGCAAATTTCTGCTGTAAAAATTTTTCCCAGCTAAAACTTGCAAGTAAGAAAATCAGCTGATCACAAACACATGTTTGTAAATAAACAAAAGAAAATATGGCCTTTTTGAGTTATTTATTGCAAATTTTATTATTAATGCTAGTATACAACGAAAAAGTGAGTAAATTTAATAAGCACAACGTTTGTTGAGTTTATTTTTCTTTAATTTGCTATTAATCTCCAGTTTGTTTACTCTAGTGTGTGCTGACTATGGCTGCCGTATGACATTTTTCGTTTGTACCATGATTTTCCTTTAAACGTACCAAACTAGATTTAAATGCAGCATGCTGAAATGTTTTTCTGCTGAAGTTTTCGGTTTTGGTAGGTTGATTGTTGAAATGAATTTTATAATTTTAAAGCTACATCTGTAGCTATATCTATTACATTTCTTTTGGATCAATGATGGGTGTTTGGAGGAGATAATCTTGTTTTTGAATGCGCCACCATGTGATATCCCAAATAATTATGAAAAAATAACTTATTCATTCCGATATAATTAATTAGTATTTAAAAAGTTTTTTCTTATCAAAAACTATTCAATTGTATAAAATGCAAAATCGGGGGAAAATGTACCAAGCAGAAAATAAATTGCCAAATTAATCACCAGTGGCAACTGTGCAAGTGATCAGCTGTGTCGAAGGTTGCAAGTTTTTCCAAATTTTGCGTTCTCGTACTTCTGTTGAAATTTCGTCGCTTTGAGAACGAATGGTGCTGTGGGGAGCTCCTGGCTCGTTACGGTGTTAGCGCAGGTCCCACTAC